TTTTTACCGACTGTAATTTTACAGAGAACTTTGGAATGTATGTATCACAAAAGGCATAATATACGTGTCGTATATTGATCTTTTTTTTATCTTTTCACTGCATTTTGTTTTGACTCAATATTTGATCTGTGTATCTGTGCTGACACATTCTTTTTTCTACTTTTATTACAACAAAGATCTATTTTTAAAAAAAGTAGGCGCGAGATTACCCGGTGGCAATGTGCTATCAGAGGACGAGCAGGATGGTCGAGCCGGCACGTCGGAAGACGACGAGATGATGTCCGATTCCGAATCCTCGATTGCTTCTTTGACGGATAAGAAGAAATCATTCGAGCAAACGATGGATGAGGAAATCGTCATGCTGGCCGAGGCTGTTTGGGACCATGTGGCGATGGAGCCGGAAGAGCTGGCTTTTCGCGCCGGGGATGTTATCGACGTCCTCGATACGCTAGATAAGGATTGGTGGTGGGGCAGCTGCAGAGGAGAACATGGATGGTTTCCAGCCGCTTTTGTCAGGGTAAATATACCCTAAAAAAAAAAACAAATCCGTCATTGTTAATAAATAAGAACATAAGAACACTGCATCTTATTTGATATCTCTTGTCTCCAAAAATGACTCCGAATTAACAATATATATTACAATTATATCTATTTATATCTTTTACTCTTTCATTTTGTAATTATTTTAATTATCAAATTTTTATAGTTGTGCGATTAATTAAACGACACGTGATAAATACACACTGAAATAAATTTTAAATAAACATATATTCATAGTTGCGCGTAAGCCAAGAGGACACGGTGGAAGATTGCCTGGCCGCGATGGCCTCGGGAGGATCCGCGGGTACTCAGCTTAGAAGACGGACAAGCATCTCCCTGCTTTCGAATGAGCAAGTGAGAACCAGTGTGGTCCGCGAGCTCGTCCAGACCGAGCGCGACTTCGTCAAAATCCTGCGCGACGTGGCCGAGGGCTACATCGCGGAATGTCGCAGGCGTACGGACATGTTTACCGAGGAACAGATCGAGACGATCTTTATCAACCTGGAGGAGCTCCTGGACTTCCAGTCTGAGTTCCTGAAGGACCTCGAGGCCAGCATCGATTGGAACGCGCCGCACAAAAGCTGCGTCGGCGAATGCTTCCTGAATCATGTTAGTGGCATTGTCGAATTTATATGATTTCGCTTTCTTCTTTATTTATAATTATTTCCTTCCTACGAACAATATAAAACAATATATTTTTAAATTTCTTTTTATTTTTCATAAATTATATGTATATCAAAAGTTGGCCAAAAAAATATTTAAATTGGAAAAAATATTGTGTCTATATTTTTTAGACAAAGTTTGAAAAGCACAAGACGCGTTATTTATTACCTATTTTTTCAGAGGGCGGGTTTTCGCATGTACTCCGAGTATTGCAACAGCCATCCAATGGCCACAGCGACGCTGCAGGAGCTCTACCAACATAATCGTTACAGCAAATTCTTCGAGGCCTGTCGGCTGATGAGAGGCCTCATAGAAATCCCCCTGGATGGATATTTATTGACGCCCGTCCAACGAATATGCAAATATCCCCTTCAATTGGCAGAATTACTCAAGTACACCAAGACCGATCATCCGGATTATCACAAGATCCAGGAGGCCTTGGAGGCGATGAGAGATGTCGCTGTGCTGATCAACGAGAGAAAAAGGCGAATGGAAAGTTTGGAGAAGTTGGCCGCGTGGCAAATGCGCGTAGAAGGCTGGGAGGTACGTTGCTTTTATAATTGTGGATAAAACTATCTTTGAAATTTTGCAATAATCTTAATAACATTACCGGTTACCTTACAACAGAGCGAGCTTTATTTAAAATTATTTTTTTCGTAATACGTTTAATGTCAATGGCAATCGGTCGCAGGGTGAGGATCTCATAGAAGTTTCGTCGCAACTTATTTATCAAGGTGAAGCGATGAGGGTGAAGACCGGCATGTGGACAAACAACATCACGCTATTCCTCTTCGATCATCAACTGGTCTACTGTAAAAAGGACATTCTCAAGCGCAATACTTATGTCTACAAAGGTCGCATCTATCTCGATACCAGCGAGGTCATTGACGTACCCGATGGGAAAGGTAACAAACGTTACTAATAATATTTCTTGATAACTTCAATTATTGAAATTACGTTACGATAGAAAAGAATGGTGGAATTTATGTTATTTTACAAAATTTCATCTTGCAAATTACTGCCATCGTAGCGAGAGACGTTAATTAAATTATTAAGATGCGATCGATGTGGTATAAAATACCGACTTGTAATGAAGATGCATCAAGTTAATAATCAATTTTACCATAGACCTTCAATCGGGAGTGACAGTGAGACATTGCCTGAAGGTGTACAGCTGCGTTCGGGACAAGTGGTTACTCTTTTGTTGCCGTACAGCGGAGGAGAAGCGGAGGTGGCTGGCGGCGATGGCCGAGGAACGAAGGCTAGTAGCTCAGGACAGGAACGACGGATTGGAATTTCCAGCGGCAGCCAGGCAACTCGCCAGGCTAGCTGCTAGCAGGCAGCAGAACAGGCCACCGATCAAACCTCGTAGTAAGTATCTGCCACAACACAGAGATGTAATCTGCCATATCTGTATTTGGATTAATGGAACCCAAGTTAATTCGATAAAATCAGAAATCAATTATTTTAATTTCAACGTCTTTCTTTGCTCTAAAAATCGTAGTT